ATAAGAGTGTGATAATGGTAGATAGAAAGAGGAAGAGATGACGTAGCTCTGATGTTATTCTGTGTTTTTCTTGTGTTTCGTATTTATCTGTTTTTGTCCTTTGATAGTTATTTGTTTGTTTGTTTGGTTGTTTTAAGGGAGATATGAGTAATGCACTTCATTCTCACCGACTTATTAAATTGTAACATTATCATGAGAACGTTCAGTGATATTTACATTAACTATATATTGCAACATTCTCATAACAAGCAAAATATAACATTAGGAAATATTATAACCAGTTCATGTTTATTTATTATCGTCATTTTTATATTTTTTTGATGTTATATAATGATTCATGAACGCATACGAATTATATATATCTGATCAATCTGTTAAAATTAATACGAGTTTAATCGCAATATATCTTGAAAACGAGGGATATTTAGATCCAATTAAAAATATTTAATCTTGAAAGTAATTAATTATATGTAATAAACTCAGATCTTTTTAGAAACCTGTTTACTTACTGTGAGTTTGTCAATTATTCTGATATGAGTTGCGTTGCCTTGGAGACCATGTGTGTGTGTGTGTGTGTGTGTCAGAAAATTAATTGATTTTACACATAACTAAAAAAATAATTGAGTTGAAATCTACAGAAATAAAGCTTAAACAAACTCCCAATCCCTTCTCGTGTCATTTCCTTCTGATGAAAACCCAGGCAATAGAAATTTTTATTATCCTACTTGAGATGGCAAACAGCTCATGGTTTAGTCGAGGAAGAAGACAAAGTGAGATATTGATTGGTATGCAGTTTTGGTTCTACGGGTTGGCTGTGTTAAATCTTTTATTGATAATGGACGTTCAGTGCATGTGAGGTGTGGATGTTGTGTTTACGGTAATTATGTGTGTGTGTGTGTGTGTGTGAGATGTTCAGACGAGAGAGAGAGAGAGAGAGAACTAAGATGGGAGCACAGAGAAATAGATCGACAGGGAAACGGACAGTAGAGAAACAGACAGACAAACAGAGGAAAAATAAAGTTCCAAAACAACATGAACTCCATATGTTGTTTGAGAGCCTCTTCTTCCTCCTCCCCTCCTCCTCCTCCTCCTCCTCCGCTCCTCCTCCTCCTCCTCCCGGTGGTGGCACAGCTTCCCGTTCCTCCAAATAGCCTCCTTCCTCCAATTTGGTACTCCTCAAAATATTTTCCCTCTCTCCAGGCAGTCCTCCCCTTCCCACAAATTATCTCCCCAGGAACCACTAACCATCTCTCCTCCAACCGTGTAGACTCCATATTTCCTCCTCAGCCCTCCTCTTCTCTCCCTCCCCTCCCTCCTTTTACCCTCCCTCCTCCTCTCTCTTCAACCCTCCTCTTCTCTCCCTCCTCCTCCTCCTCTACTCCTCCCCTTCATCCTTTACGAGTCCATCCTCGCTCTCTCTCTCTCTTACCTCCCCTTCAAAAACGACTCTTCCCCAACCTTCTCCTCCAAACTCCAACACTCTCCCTCCCTCAGCTATCGGGGAAGGGGGGAGGGGGAAGAGTTCAGCCCCGGGGGTAGATATGTTGTATTTTATGTTTGAGGCGGGAGGAGGAGATGGAGAGAAGGCGTGTTGTTGTTGCCTTTGTGTCTGTTATGAGTCCTGCTTGTGTCAGTGTGGTTTCTCTCTCTCTCTCTCTCTCTCTCTCTCTCTCTCTCTCTCTCTCTCTCTCTCTCTCTCTCTCTCTCTCTCTCTCTCTCGTTATCATCATCAACATCTTGTTTTGCCTTCAGTTTTTCTCGTTTCTACAATTTTCTGTCCTTCTCTAGTTTTGTTCCTCACTCTTGTCTCCCCTCTGATTCCTCACCCTTAATCCCATCTTTGTTTTTCTATTCCTTATTTATCTTACTTTTATTCATCTATTTTCCTTCCCTTTCTCTTTATTATATTCATCTTTAGCTCATTTTTCACATTTTCCTTCTCTTTTAGCCTTTCACTTCTTCCTCGAATTTTGTTTCTTCTCTCTTTTTTCCTTGTGTTTCTTTCTTATAATTTCCTCTTTTCTTCCTCGTTCTTACATTCTCCCTTTCTCCTTTATCTGATTCCCTCCTCCTTCTCCTTCTTCATCTTTCTTATTGCTTCCCATTCTTTTCATCTATCGTTCTTTCTTCTTCTTCTTCTTCTTCTTCTTCTTCTTCTTCTTCTTCTTCTTCTTCTTCTTCTTCTTCTTCTTCTTCTTCTTCTTCTTCTTCTTCTTCTTCTTCTTCTTCTTCTTGTATTTTTCCTTTTAGTTTCCGGCTTTGTAATGTTTCTCCGGTCTGTTATTTTTCCATCTTCTTATTTTTCTTATTCCTCCAGTTTCTCTTCGTCCTTCCGTTATTGTTCTTCCTTCTTTTACTTCTCTTCTTTTCTTCGTCTTGCGTCTCCTTATCTTTTCCTTCTGATTTTTCTCCTCCTCTACCATCTTCTTCTCCCTTACCTCCAACCACTGCATGTCATGATCCACCTTCCCCGTCTCCTCCTTCATCCTGCTCCTTCTCCTCCCCCTCTGCCTCCCCCTCCATCCCACTCCTCTTCTTCCTCCTACCCCTCCTTCATTCGATTCCTCTTCTTCATTCGGCATCTCCTCCTATTCTTCCTCATTCACCCGGTTCCTAACCCTCCTCCTTCTCCTCCTCCTCATCATCATCATTGTCTTCCTTCATCCCTCTCCTCCTCCTCCTCTTCCTCATACACCATTTCCTCTTCCTTCCTCGCCCTGGTCGTCATATACATGGTAATAACACTCATATCAGCACTTGGCACCGGCTTGTCTTCCAGCTCAGAGAACCCTTGACAAAATTACGTTCAATTTACCTTAGACAAACATTATATTAAAACGGTAAACATAACTACCACAGCGAAGTTTGGAGGGACATATGCCGGTAGATATTTCTTATGTATTATATTGGTTAATTAAATGCAGATAGGGAAGCGTCCTCTAGTTTGCAATATATTTAAGTGCAATAGGAGGTACACGTTATTGCAATTGAGGTCACTTGAGTTAATGTTGAGGTTAGGTTAGGTTACGTTAGGTTGGGTTTGGTTATTTAAATAGGGTTTATAATGTGTGTTATCTGGCACTTGATTTTTTTCTACATAGCGTTCATTAATCGTCACTGTTCTTCATGTTAATATGCGTTAGTTTAATTATGTTTAATTCACTTACCTGTTAATTAAGTGATTCATGTATGTATTGATTAATTAACTGATTAATTAATTTATTTATTTATTTATAATTTATCTATGTTTATTTGTTTCTCACCTTTCTGTTTATTTCTTAGCTTATGATTTTTACCACACGATTTATTTCCATGTTTATTCAATTTTTTTTTCTCTCTCACTTGTATATTTCTCATCCATTGTGTGTATATCCCATTCTATTGTCATCATATCTAATCGTATGTCTCTCGCGCTAACAAGTGGCTTTTAATTAATGTCATTCCCGACTCAATCTCATGTTTACCTTACATTTAGTATATTTTCTCCTGTGTGTTATATTGTTGAGTATATCTCGTTCGTGTAAGTATATACCTCGTCTTGAGAATAAGATGGAAATGAAGAAGAGGAAGAAGCTAAGTATATTCATAAGAATAAGAAGTTATAATAAGAAAGTGGAAATATGTGTCAGAGGAAGAAAACGCTGCCATAGTGAATAATAAAACATGTGTAGAAGATAAAGAAAAATTAATAATTATTATAATAATAATAATAATAATAATAATAATAATAATAATAACACTAATAATAACAATAATAATAATAATTAAATTAATATAATAATGATATTAATAATAATAATAATAATAATAATAATAATAATAATAATAATAATAATAATAGTAATAATAATAATAATAATAATAGTAATAATAATAATAATAATAATAATAATGATAATAATAAGAGGAAGAAGAAGTATATGCGTAAATTAGGGAGAAATATTAACAAGAACACAGAAAATAATATAAGAAAAACAAATTATAATAAAATACAGGAATAAACCATAACAAAGGCTTCACTCTGAGACGAAATAAACCAAAATATCCCCAGACATATTTCACAAGTCTAATCTCACCTTCAGAATTTCACACCTGAACCGGAATAACACGAGAGGTGAAATCTGTGACGTAGTGTGACTTTACGTTAGACAATTCATCCCTTTAATTACATTAGGCCATTGTAATCAAGATTGGATTTCACACTGGATCACATTTCGGTTGGAATTCCACAGTGGCCTTGTAATATCTTCTACCATAGGGGGGGGCGCCACCATCTAAATCCTGTTATCTCTCTCTCTCTCTCTCTCTCTCTCTCTCTCTCTCTCTCTCTCTCTCTCTCTCTCTCTCTCTCTCTCTCTCTCTCTCTCTCTCTCTCTCTCTCTCTCTCTCTGTCTCTCTCTCTCTCTCTCTCTCTCTCTCTCTCTCTCTCTCTCTCTCTCTCTCTCTCTCTCTCTCTCTCTCTCTCTCTCTCTCTCTCTCTCTCTCTCTCTCTCTCTCTCTCTCTCTCTCTCTCTCTCTCTCTCTTAGATCGCTTATTTCAACCCCCTTAACCCATAATATTTTCTCCAGTCAGCAAGGACTATTATGTGGAATTGCCAGAAGTGATGGAATATAATATAATCAACAAATATTTCAGGTTAGGTCAACAAAGGGCGAGGTTCTTGTTGCTTTACGGGATAATAAAGTTGTCCTTACATAGTGTGTATACGATTCGGTTTATTTTAGTTTCTCGATATAGTGCACAGAGGTCTTCATCACCTGGACCTACTGTACAGGAGACGCATGCTTATGTTCTTCAGGATTACTGTGTGTTCCTTCGTGAAATTGTGAACCGTAACGCATCCCAGACACTTTATATACAAAGCAAAAATACAATTGAATAGAATCTAAAGCGACAAGATTATTAAAAGTTAGTCACCCTCAGAGCTGTATTGTCACCTGGATGTCACAAACAAGGATTGACTCACAAAGAAACACTCAATAAAAAGCTCGAGATATACCTCACTTGAGCTGGGAGGCGTGACCCGGACCTTCTCGGCTCACACTCGGGTTTGACTCGTAAATGCATCTTGAGTGGGTAGTAAGCCTTGTATCTTAGGCGTGAGAAGGTGTCCTGCCAACGAAGATTAGATTCAAATTCTTCTCTTCCTGTAAATATTTTTAACTTTTAGGAGCTTCTTAAAACACTGAACAACAGTCAGTACACCTGGATGCTATTTATACATGCAGCCAGTTATTTCACGTAATAAGTGTGACGTAACCTAACTTGACCTAACGACTGCATGCTTTACCTAAAAATAAGTAAAGTAGTATTATATGACTTATTACACATATATGCGAGTATATACACCAAGAGTGTCAACACCGACCATCATCACCACATTATCATCACCATAATAACATCATCAATACCAGGCTACACCATCATTATCATCACAACAACATCAACACAGACTACACCACCATCACCATCACCACAACAACATTACAGACTACACCATTCATTATCACCACAACTAACACTATCATCACAGGCTGCATTACCATCATTATAACAACAAACATCAACCTAAAAAAAAACACTTTAGTATCAGTAAAGCGCTAACTTTTTTTTTTAACAAGCTGGACCTCGTTAAGTAGTACAGAGGCAAGAATTCATACGTAAATTCTAAGCAAACACAACAAAAGATAGGCGTAATTATGCCTTAAAGCACGAAGCTGGAATTGTGTGTCTGTGAGAGCGGATTAATGCGTAGTATAAACTTTCTAACTGCACTAATGTTTGTTGTCCTTGTGGCCTTTAGAGTTTTTATTGTTCGCCTCCACACATTGTTGGAGTATAGTTTGTGACTCTTCTCCAGCAGCTTGAAGTGGGAGGGTAGGGGGGAAGGGTAGGAAAGCAGTGATAGTTGAGGTGAGGGGGTGAGAGGAAGGGAAGAAAGTTAGGGGAAAGGAAGGAGGGAGGGAAATGGGGTGGTTTGGAGGGGGTGGATGGAGGAATTTGAGGAACGGGGAGGGAAGTTGAGGGATGGGGAGGAGGTGGGAGGAAAGATATTGAGGGGAGAGGAGGGAAGTGGAAGGGATGGGGGGTGGGGGTAGCTTCCTTGACGCTGTTGCCACCACCACCACCACCAGCTCACAACCATCGTAATCTTACTATCGTCACCAACACCAACCACTTTTGAAATATTTATCTCCATTATTATCACCATCATAATCATAGTCACTATATCACCATAACGAAATCTACCACCGATGCTCTCCTCACCACCACCAGTCCACCACCACAATTAACTGTTTGTAGTGTCTGATCCTACCCTGAACTGCGCCACACATGACGTATTTAACTGCATGACGCAACAGCCAGTCACACGATACGCGGACGACGGTGATGGCCAGACACGTACACGAGGGTGAGTCAGCGTCACAGGTGAAAAGGCCTGTACAGTATTTGTTAACGTAGATGTAGCTGAGAACGTCACATCCTGCTACAGACAGGTGTTAGGGAAACCTCTAGGTGATCTGTGGTCCATCAACAGCATGACAAGCAGGTTACACCACTGTCACACGACCTGGATTAGTTTTACTTCATGCCCGTTGTAAATTTGAAAAACAAGTATTTATTTTCACATTTTAGCGTTCTATTAACAAATGCAAACATTATTCCAAGCGGATTATAACATCATCGCCCCCAGTACATCCCACACACAGCTAATGTTCTTATTTACACTGTTGGTGGAAGTGCTGCCGTAAAAATCTGGTGCTTTAGGCCTATAAAATAACCTATCTCATTACCAACATTCTCTAAAATTCAGCACGAATTATTCTTTATCACTACGGCCATTACCAGGACTTTACTTACCATAATGGACGATAAACATTCATGTTAACTCTGGTAAAAGACTTTTACTGATATTTTTGATCATATAACTGAACGAATTTACGCATTCAAGATAACGAGAGTTCTCTCAAACTAGCAGTGAAAAACATCAAAAATATTACTTGAAATAATGTCTAACAGATCGATTTAAGCAGTATTTTACAAGTAATGGTTCTCCTTCACCACAATCACCTTTCTTATCAAACTCACCACCACCATCCCAACCCTCACCACTATCACCACCACCACCATCCCCACTGTCATCACTACCATTCCCACTGTCACCACCACCACCCCCACCCTCACCACTGTCACCACCACCATCCCCACCACCACCATAATCAAGCCCCACTCCCCACATTTCCTCCCTCTTCCCTTCATCAGAATATTTCCTCACTCATACCTGCCAATTTCCGGCCTGCGCCTTCCACAGTCATCAGGTTATTCCGATTTCCTCTTCTTCCTTTCATCACCTTCTTCCTCTCATCAGTCTCTTCCTCATTCTCACCCCGCCACAGTATGTTATTAAAACTCTCTTCAAATCTTCTGAAAATATCGTTTCTTCTCCCCGAATAAATATACAAATATATTCTGTTATGTTTTGTTTTTTTCAATTTGTCGGCTGATTATTTTTATCTCTTGATCTTTACTGTTTATTGACTTTTGGATATTTGATAAAAACAGACATCTTTCACTTTTCTAATATCATCTACTCTCCCCACACACCTTTGCCACCTATCTTTAATTTGGTTTTCTGTTTTCTTCCTCCTCCTCCTCGCCCTTCTTCTTCCCCTCCTTCCTCTTCCTCTTGGCTTCTAATTTTCCTTTATTTGGCAGGAGTCGCCTCGTCAGCAGGTTCCCTTCATCAGTTATTCCCACCTCCTTCAATATTTAGCGGCCCATACGTCAGCCCGCTCCTTCCCAGTCCACCAGCCCTACCCCCCCAGCCCCCCCAGCCCCTCAGCCCTCAGCCCTTGTCCACCCCTCTCCAATTCCCCTCCTCCACTCCCTTTCCCGCCTTCTTTCATTTACTTCCCTACTTTGTTTCCTCTTCCACAGCTTCTCTCGCACCCCTCTCCCCCGCCTCGTTCTCTCTTCCCTGCTTTGCTCCCTCGTTGTTTACTCCCATGTTTTACCTCCCTAATTCTCCTGTCCCCTCCCTAAATCCCCTTCCGCAATTTCTCTCCCCCTTCTAGCTTACTGCGGCAAAATTTTCTCCCTCTCACTTCCTCCCTCCCTCCCTCCCTCCATTCCCTCCCCCTCCTCCTCCCTCCCTCCCTCCCTCCCTCCCTCCCTCCTTTCCTCCCACCTATCTTGCTTCCCTTCTTCTGGTTTATTCCCTCCCACCCTGTCCCGTTTCTGCCTTCATCCCTATCTCCCTCCCCACCTCCTTCCCCTTTCGTCTGATTCTCTCCCTCCCTCCTTTCTTCCCTTCTGTTTCACCCCTCTTCTCTCTCTGTTCCTCTTTCCCTTCTTCTGACTCTCTCTCCCACTCTCCTCCCTCTTCTCTACAAAACTTTCCTCACCTTTACGTATATCTATATTTCTCTCTCTCTCTCTCTCTCTCTCTCTCTCTCTCTCTCTCTCTCTCTCTCTCTCTCTCTCTCTCTCTCTCTCTCTCTCTCTCTCTCTCTCTCTCTCTCTCTCTCTCTCTCTCTCTCTCTCTGTTGACTTATCCTCTTCGTCTCCTTTCCCCTCCCACATCCGCGTTGGTATTTCTTTCTTTTTCTTTAGTTTTTGTTTCCCCTCTACCCTTCCCCCTTCTCTCCATTCCCTCTCCTTTCAGAAAACCCCTTGATCCTTCCCATTCCCCTCTTCTCTATTTTCTACACTTCCCCAACTATTTTTTTACTCTCTCTCTCTCTCTCGTCTTTTCTTCAGGATATCGCGATGAAATATGCCACAAGATGGGTGATATTTCCGCTACCAATTTCCGGCCTTTTTTTTCCCCAAGTCTAAACTGCTATTCGATAAGGTAGATTTTTTTTAACCTTGTATGATATAGTAAAAAAAAATAGGTGTGTATATTATGTATAATTTATAAACGTTTGATCATTTTAGTTATTGGTTTCAAGTTACTTTAAGGCGTTCCGTGTCGTGATTAGGTTATGTTAGATTAAGTTAGGTTTGGTTTGGTTAAGTTTGGTTTGGTTAGGTTAGGTTAGGTTAGGTTAGGTTATGTTAGGTTAGGTTACCTTGATATAATATAACGTTATTCGCTTAGTCTTATAATCTTCATATAATATTACTATTGATTTTGATCCTTTTATTCTTATAAACGAATATTCAAAACCTAACCTAACCAACAGTGTTAATTTACATGTATGTTTGCTTCACTAACACCAGACTGGAATATATACCTACGGATTTAAGGAATATCCAGGTGAGTTTTAAGGATATTCCTAATCGCTTCGATATCTAGGTTCCAAAATGGCAATATACTCTTTAAAGGAGTAAATAAAAACTCCACTCCCTCCTCTACCTCCACTCCTCCAGCCGCTCTACTCCATCCTCCACCTCTCCATTGCTGCCTCTACACCCCGTCCTACCCAGTCTTTACTCCCCTCCCCCTCCACTCCTGCCTTTACCCATCCAAACCCCTCCACTCCCACCTCTACCCCCCCCTCCACTCTTGCCTCTACTCCCTCCTCCATTCCTACCTCTACCTCATCCAAACCCCTCCTCCCACCTCTACTCCCCTCCCACTCCCACCTCTACTCCCCTCCCTCCCTTACTCTACACCCCTCCCCTCCCCCTCCAAACACCTTGTGACACATTTACAGCTGTAGAACAAAAGTTTTTACACTGGCTTAAGTTTTTACTCTCGATAATTGGTAGTGAGCGAGAAAGTTTACGGGAATCATTAAAGGATTTATCCCCGCCTGTGTAAGTTATTATCTATTCCCTGTCTTTATTCACGCTTATCTCCATTCGCCTCCTTCGCTTTTTATTTATTTGTACTTTTTTTTTTAGGAGAAAAAATATAGAGGAATGATGTATATGTGAGGAATTTTAGTAAGGAATACAACATACACGTTAATGGATGGTTTACTGTACACTAGATAGCGTGACTAGTGCTTCTTCAGAGACTGGACATATACAGGGCAAACCCACAACAAATGCAGTAAGACAACACGTAAATAGGTCATAGAGAGAGAGGGAGACTGAAATAATGAAACAAACAAATAAAGAAAGAGAGAAAAGAAGAAAGAAAGAAACAATCAGTCAAGCAAACAAAGAGAAATAGAAAAAAGGGGAGAGAGAGAGA